GTAAGTCCAGGGGAGGAGCTGGCCTAAGACTATTTGCCCACATAGGTCTCTCATCTCCATTTTTCTCACTGTAGCTTTAGCCACTGTCAGAGAGGCATTTTTTTCATGAGACAAGGAGGACAGCAGCCCCCAATTCATTCACATCACTTCCAGTCACATGATGACCAAAAGGGCCAAGCCCCTTCTCTAACCCTCTCTGTGGGTCAGCCTTAGAGGAGTCTCATGCCCAAGGAAGTCTCACCTACCACTCCCAGACCTACCCTCAGGCCAGGGCCAGGGCCCCCATCAGCCTGCTGCTTCTAGTTAGTTCCCCCTAAGGCCACACTGGTGGTGGCACATCCAATCACATCTCTGATTCCACACCATGTAGGCAGTGAAATGGAAGACGAAATTTCCAAGCAAACTACAAGGCGGGTTGCACAAAAGTTCTGAGTGTAACTTTCAGGGATCACCTTTTTTGTTCTGTTCTGTTTTGTTGTGTTCCAGGTGGTAAGGTGAGAAGCTCACAGGCGTAACTGTATTTTTCTTTTCTTACACATTTTTTTTCCCTCTGCCCTACATTCACCTTTTCTTCTGAGGGAAAGGTAAAACTACTGCTTTTAAGAGGAACAAGTATCTGTTATGGTACTTACTAACAGGACATATGTTCAAGAACCACAAAATCTTGCCTATTCCACTTGAGGTTTTTTTTTATTATTTTGTCCACTTCCTCCAACTCCAATGTCTTAGTATGACATCAAGTGTTACTGAGTTCTGATCTAGTCAGGCATAAAAACAGGATCCATAATCTTGTGAAATTGCTCACCCCCTCCCCCCAAAATTAAAATAAATTTAAATTTAAAAATTAAAATAAACTAATAGCTACTTAAAAAAAACACATCTGGGGATGCCTGGGGGGCTCAGTCGGTTACACATCCAACTCTTGATTTCTGTTCGGTTCATGATCTCACAGTCATGGGACCAAGCCCCACATCAGGCTCAGTGTTGATCTCAGAGCTTGCTTGGTATTCTCTCTCTCTCCCTCTTTCTCTGCCCCCTTCCCTGCTTGTGCTCTCTCTCTCGCTCTCGCTCTCAAAATAAATAAACTGAAAAAAAAAAGCGCCTCAGCATTACAACCAGTTGAGCAATGTTACACACACTCGTTCACACACACACACACACACACACACACACACACACTCTACTACTACCACTATTTGTATGCATGTGCTTACATACACCAGGTTTCTTTAGCAATGCACCAAATTCTTAGGCTTCTCTCAGAGTCCTCAGTAAGGATTCTGGAGCTTTGTCTTCCTAAGGCAAATTTAATTCTAAAATTGCTACTTTAGCGTTTCACCAATTATGCTCTGGGTACCTTATGAATCAGAATTACACGGCGGGAATCTTGTTAAAATGCAGACAGACTCCTGTGGGCCCCTCTCCATTCCAACCAAATCAGAATCTCTCTAGGAAGGATGTTCCAAGAGTCTTTGTTTTTAAAATTTCCCAAATGATACTTCTGCACCCTAAAATGTAAGAAGCCCTGTTCCAGAATTTTGGAGAGTTATTTTTAGGATTCCTAGTTGTGCTGTCAGATACTTCTGTAGCTCTAAGGATAAACTTCTTATGAATTCCATGAACTCTAGTTTGTCAGTAAAATATAATAGCAATCCTCATGGGCCATGCTTTTTTGAAGTTCTATAACAGAAGTAACTATAAGCATAGTTATAGTACACAGAATTCCTTCAGATTTAGAAATATCTACTCTGGGGTGCCTGGGTGGCTTGGTCAGTTAAGTGTCCAACTCTTGATTTTGGCTCAGTTCATGATCTCACAGGCTCCATGCTAACAGCAGGCTCCATGCTTGGGATATTCTCTCTCTTTCTCTCTCTCTCTCAGAATAAATAAACTTAACACATCTACTCTAAATAAGTCACATATTAATGAGTAGGATAGGCCAATTCCATTGTAACAAACTTTTGTGATTACAATGAACAATTCAATGTAATTTTGTTAAAATAGGTACATTACAAGAACTGACATAATTAAAATCCAACTGAAATTAATTACAGAAAAATTTTATGAAAACTCATTAAGGTTGTGAGTTTTTTTTGAAATGAACAACTTCCCCTGTTCATAAACAGGCCTTTATCTCCAATCCAAGACAAGCAATAAGAAGTCAATATACACACAAAAAAAAAAAAAAAATTTTTTAAAAAAGGGGCGCCTGGGTGGCGCAGTCGGTTAAGCGTCCGACTTCAGCCAGGTCACGATCTCGCGCTCCGTGAGTTCGAGCCCCGCGTCAGGCTCTGGGCTGATGGCTCGGAACCTGGAGCCTGTTTCCGATTCTGTGTCTCCCTCTCTCTCTGCCCCTCCCCCGTTCATTCTCTGTCTCTCTCTGTCCCAAAAATAAATAAACGTTGAAAAAAAAAAATTAAAAAAAAATTTAAAAAAAGAAGTCAATATATACAATCTGACTCCATCCACCACTAATACAGTAGGAGCTGTACACAAAGTCCTTGGCATTTTAAAGCTAGAAGAGACTTGGGGTGCCTGGGTGGCTCATTCGGTTAAGCGTCCGGCTTCAGCTCAGGTCATGATCTTGTGGTTTGGGAGTTCAAGCCCCGCGTCAGGCTCTGTGCTGACAGCTCAGAGCCTGGAGCCTATTTTGGATTCTGGGTCTCCCTTTCCCTGTCCCTCCCCCGCTCATGCTGTCTCTCTCCCAAAAATAAGTAAACATTAAAAAAATTTTTTTGTAATAAATAAAGCTAGAAGAGCCTTGGGGATTGTGCACTCCAACCCCCTCTCAGATGAAGAAACTGAAGACCAAATCACACTGTCAATGACAGAATAGAAAAAAAAAAAAATCCAGATGTCCTGATGGCCCAGCCCCCAACGATACCCAAGCACAAAATCAAATGGTTCTTCAGGGGTGAGTGGAAGCAACCATTCTTTTTACATAGCAGATATGCTTTGAAGTAAAAAAACAAACAAAAAAAAAAGCCACATAAGATGTAAGATTTAAAATAAATACCACTGAGGCACCTTGAGTTATTCATTCCTTCTCTCCTGTAATTCAAGCTACATGGTAGAAAGGCTTGAAAAAACCTGGTGCTATTCCAACTTCCCTACCAAAATCTGATAAATTAAAAGAGGAGAGAAGATGTGACCCCAAAGTAGTCATGAGTAATCACCTGATACCTATCCAGACTGATCCAGTGTGGTTGAGAATAAGTCAAACAAGGCTGTTTAAGCACTTCTCAGATGATTTACTAAACATAGGCTATAGGTCTGTACTTGGGTTTCATTTTTTCATTCTATTATTCAATAGATATCGACTGAGTACCTACCTACTAGGTGCTAGAATCTATGACATGTTCTAGCAATACTAAGATGAACAGACAGGGGGAAGGACAACTAAAGCTATATCATTACAATGTGTTATATTACAGACTATAGAATCAGGTGTCATGGGCACAGACTCAGGTTGTGTCAAAGAAGGTGTTACAGTGAAAATGACATTGAGCTAAGTCTTAAAGGACAAACAGGGGTTTCATTAATGGAATATGCAAAAGGAAGAGAAAATCATTCCAGGCAAATGGGTAGCATATGCAGAAGTATGAAAGAGAGGTATGAAGAGAACAAGTAAGCAGTTGGAGAGAGGGGTCCAAAAAAGAAAGTATTATAGACATTAGCTTTGTTTTTTGTGCCATCTAGCACAACATGGAAAAAGCCAATTTTTTTTATATAATAATTTTTAAAAATCTACCTTCCTTGGGCCAAAAACTCACAAGAGACTGCATACTGGTGACTGAGACATCTGACCTTGAGAGCTGGTTTCAAACAAGAAAGAAGGATATCTGTTCTTTCTTTTCCTGTCTCGAGAGTCTTAGACACTTTCCAGGCTCTCAAAGTCCACCTCTTCCAGAAAGACTTCCAGGATTTCCAGAGTCTAAACAGAGTCATTGTAAGGCAGGGCACGGGAGGAGGGGGGGGAGACAGGGGAGGGGGGAGTGTTTTAATGATGAAATTAAATAAGGGAAATTATGCATTCCCATAGTTAACCGTAAAATTGTCTCCTTTCTAAATCCTTGGTATGCAGATCATACAGTAATTTTTTGCACTGGTAAAAGAAAGTGGGTGATAGACCTAAGTTCAAACAAATTGCCACTACTTAATAGCTGTGTGACTTTGGGGAAGTCGCATAACATCATTTTTCTGGTTGCAAACACCCTGCTAGTTTGTTGTGAAGCTTAGACATGACTTGAGGGAGGGCACCTGTCACAGGGTCTACCCTGTAAGGGGCCTTTCCGTGGGGCAGTCACTGTACATTATCATAGCATTTTCATTCATTCAACAAATCTTCATTAGAGACTTAACATGTAGAAGCCAGGAACAGACAAATAAATCTGAACTGGATTTTGTTCTCTAGGATGTCACAATCTATAGTGGATATATAGATATAGAACGGGCTCAAATAACTATAAGGAAGAAAGTGCTTACTACCAAGAAAAATACAAAGAAATTGCTTGGTAAGTTGAGAGGTCAGAAATTACTTGTGTGGAGAGAGCTGGTGGGGGAGAAGGGAAAACAATTTGGGGCCGAGAAGGAAGAAGCATCTGGGCAGAGCAAAGTATCCATCTGTCCCTTTCACAGATGAAATAAGAGAGGTTCCTGGAAGTGACAACATTCACCCAACTTCACACTCCGTTACAGCAGAGTCAGGGTGAGGACTCAGAGCTCCCTACCCCTCGTCCAAAGCAGTCACCGTTACCACACTACTTCCTATAATTGGGCCATTCGCAGATGTAGAGGACAAGGCCGAGCAGGGAAAGCAGCAGGGAAAGGAGGGGATGGGGTCGCAGGCCACTACCCCCAGGTTGAGGCAGAGCACAGTCTCAGCAGTGGAGGGCGGGCGGGCACGGGAGAAAGGGGAGGGCAGGCCAAGGGGCGGGGAGAGGGGCGCGGGCGGCACTCCGGGGCTGGTCAGGGCACCCGCCCAGCCGCAACAGCCCGCGCTCAGGCTCCGCCGGCCATGGGGCGGCGGTTCCACGCGCTGCGGCCGCTGCTGGCGCCGCTGTTGCTGCCGCTGCTGCTGCCGCCGCGGGCGCTTCCCCGGGCGCACTGCCCGGAGCCCTGCAGCTGCCCGCCAGACGGCGCCCTGCGCTGCCCCGGCCCACGGGCCGGCCTCACCCTACTGTGAGTACGCGGCGCCCCGCTACGGGACCCTCGCTCGCTCCTCGCTCCGGGCCACTCTGCTTCCCTACTCTTTGGCTCCTTTAACCTGGAAGCTTGGAAAAAAAGGCTGCTCCCTGTCAAACTCCACCACCTTTTAGAGTGATGAGAATGCAAAGCTTGGGGGCTGTCTCTGCCATCCCGTGCCAAGCCGCGCCTTGGGTTAGGGCCCCTCCTGCTGGCACCCCCTGCAGCCCCTGGCGGCCCCAGGGCCGTGATTTCCCCCACTGGGGCTGCGGCAAGGGGCGTGGAATTGCCCAGAAGCCACAAGGGAAGGCCTGCTCCCGGCCACTGCTTGGAAGTCGAAAGTGGCTTTGACCTTTGTGCTAGCCAGGTCGGTGAAGGTTACTGTGACCTCTGACACCCTGTGCTCCACTAGGAATGGGGTGGTCAGGCCCTACGGCAAGGGGTGACCTGGTCACTCGACTGGGATTGCTGGTTCGCCCGCCGCCTCCCTAGTGTACCGCTTAGTAGGCATACGAGTCACGGCCCTACCCTTTCTCAGACGTACTTGGATTTCAATCTGCTGGTCTGATCGAGGTGTGCCTTACGTCACGCCTCCCACACGCCACCCAGCCCTCCACGTTTACAGAGCGGGTTACAAAGCAGGTTAAAAGAACTGCATACATCAGCAAGTAGGGGCAGGAAGAGGTTCGCTGAAGTGATGGGGTGAAGAGAGGAGGGGCCTTCTGTACTGGTGTATCAGAGTGTCCCCTGTCTCCTTTCTTCGATTTAGAAAAAGTACCACACATTATATGATTCTATTATATGAAATGTCCAGACCAACAGAAAGCAGATTAACAGCTGCCAGGTAGGGGTGAAGGCCCAGTGACTGCTAATGGCTGTGGCTTCTGGGGGTAACAAAAATTATTTAAAATTAGATTGTGGTGATGATTGCACAACTCCTCCCTAGACATACTAAAAACCATTGCACTGTGTACTTTAAATGGGTGAATATTATAGTATATAAATTATATCTCAATAAAGTTGTTAAAAGAAAAAAAGGAAAGAAGAGTACTATAAAAGTAGGTTTTGGTTATGTCCTAACCATTGGCAGTGATGGAATCTCATTCTTGGGGAAGAAAGAGGCAACCCCCCCTCCCCACTTCCATGGGCTGAAACAGTCTGTCAGGGATCCCCCCCTCCCTTCTGAGGGGCTGAGCCTCTCCCCTGAAAGAGTTAGTGGCCTACAGGGAATGTTTGCAGCTGAGAGATACAGTTTAAAGGCTGAGGGGTTTATATTAATTAGTTTCCATTAATTATCTTGTCAGCTCAATTCCCTGAAGGTGAGGACCATGCTGAAAGAATTTGTTTCAATCAATCAACAGATTCATGGAAGCTGCCTTCCTAGTCCCAGCCCTTGTCCTTCCCTGACAAACCTCCCTTCTTGCTCTTATGAATGATGGTGCCACTAACAGCCTTTCTCACTCGCTCAGTACTTATCATAGAGATTTCAAGAAACTGAGATCCAAAGGCATGGAATAACTTGGCCATGGTCCCCTTTTGCTATTGAGTAGCAAAGACAGGACTTCATCTGTTAGTTGTGTTTTTATATTTGCTTGTCTTTGTATTTAGGAAATTACCTTTTCCTAAATACACACACACACACACACACACACACACATACATGTAAATGTACACACATACACATACATACATATATACATTCCCAGGTCCTCTCAGATTCAGCTCTTCACTGAGCTCTCTCAACAATTCCTGCTGCCAAACCATGTTGGCCTCAGGAGACTACCTCTTCCCTGGAGAAAGCTGAAGTGGAAAGTACAAAACAAAACAAATTCTCCCACTGCCCCATAGCACAGTTTAGAGAAGCCTAGAACCCCTCAAAAAGATTTTAGGGGTTTGGGGGTAGAGGTGGGAGGCAAGCACAATAGAAGAAATGCTAGCATGCTGAAGCTGGCTAGTCCCACTCCCAAAAAGGAGCTAGTCGTCCAGGCTCTGACACCTTTGGCCATCCCTGAGGGATTCTGGAGAATCCTCAACTTCCTCCCTTCACATGCACTATCTTGGCATCCACACCAAGAGCATCTTCTAGACATTTGGACATGTAAGGTTGGCAAGCATGCTGACCCTCACAAGGTAAGGCTTCCTGAGAATCAGTTAATTGAGAGATGACCTCCTCCTTTAGGTGAGAACCCTATGGGCACAATAAGGTGACCTCAACATCCATGTGCCAAGAGAAATACATAAGAAGGGATAGGAAGATAGTCACTTTAAGGCAGTGTTACTCAAAGTGTGGTCCTAGGCCAGCAGCGTTAGCATCACCTGGGATATTAGACATGCATACTCTTGGGCCCCATCCCCAATCTACTGCATCAGAAGCTGTGAGGATGTAGTGCAACAGCTGGTGTTTTAACAAGATCCCCAAGTGGTCTGGTGCATGCAAACATTTGAGAACCAAGATATTGCTCTCCATGAAGGATATAATCTTGTAGAAAGCAAAAGTGTGTTTTAAACTTCCTGTGCCATACACTTCCCCTCTCCATATGCCTCCTCACACACATACATACACAAAATACCTATTTATTGCAAAAGGCACCTATGATCAAATTAAAGCCCCAAACTCTGCTACACATGGAAAATATACAGGATGGAGAAAAAGTTTTGTTTTTGTCTTCAAAGAGGAATAAGGGAAGGAATCCATGGAGAAGGACAGACTGAAGACATAAGGGAGGGGGAAGAATGATATTTGGTGAAGTAAGGTCTCAGTGAGGGTGGGAGGACAGTGTCAGTCTCAGATCATAGAAGAAGGGTTAATCCTAGGGAGAGGGATACTTCTGAGTCCTAGGGAAGAAGACAAATGGATAAAGGTGTAACTTAACATTGAGGCAGAAGACAGGAAAAGTGAACAGCATCATACTGAAATCCTCTTGATGATGAATGAATGAAATGGTAAACACTAACCACAAGATAGAAAAAAAATGCTATGGATAACAAATTATCAGGAGTTCATAAAGAGGAGAGAGCTGAAATTATGAAATAAGGCACCCAGAGAGATGTGGTCTTGCATGAAGTCATGCACAGGGTCTGGCTCTGAAGAAAGAAGGGGAGCACTCATGTTTCTGGGGGTTGGAGGAGACAAGTACAGCACAGCATTTTAGACTTCATCATTGGCCCCTCAGTAGATGCTAATTTACATTTTAATCAGTCCAGGCCTTGGTAGTCCTGCCTTGTAAGATTTCATGTAAAGTCCACTATTTGGTTTCAACAAGGGGGAAAAAAAGGAACATGGAGTGTAATTGTTTGTCATTGACAAGCCCACTGTTTGCACATTTTGAAAATGGCACAGTTCCATCATTCATATCTTTCTATACTTTCCATGTTTTATTAAAAACTGAGGTATTTAAAAACTAAAATGTGATACAAAAAATAGCCTCCCACATGCTCACTCATTTTAATTGAGGAGAAAAAGGTAAAAGAAAAAAATTGATTTAAAACATTTCCTTTTCCTTGTCTTATTAGTTCCAGACAAGTGGAAGAAGAGGGGGAAAAAAATTCTCACCTTGCCCATGGTTATATAAAGATCTTTGTCTCTATGACAACAGAAAGGTTGATCTTCTTGATATGGAAACAGCTTCTAAAAAATCTGTTAGTAAGAAAATGCTAATAATAATAATGGGAATTTATTTTTTGCATGTTGTGCCTACTGAACAGAGATTAAACTTTAAGCTTTATTATAAGACACAGGCCAGAGACTTTGAAAAGATAAAATGTGCTGTATCTATCAATCCAGTGTTACAGGAAGATATTAGTCTCCTGACATTGTTTCTGAATGTCCTTCTCCCTCTCCCACCTTCAGTGAAAATCAGGGTCCAGGACAGTGTTCAATGATGCAGAGGAATTAACAGGAGGAGGGCATGGCCCCAGTCCTTGAGAAACCCACAATCTAGGTAGAAACACATGCAAGAGACCAGTGTGGGCAGGGAAAGAGGCAACAAGGGTCTAGGAATTCAGGACGCAGAGCAATTACTAAGGACTGAAATGTGTAAGGGAAGGTACCATGGGCAAATGGTTATGGGGCTGAACCTTTAAGGAAAGATAAGAAGAAGAGTCTTGGTGGAAGAAACACAGATTAGAATAGATTCAGGGGCGCCTGGGTGGTGCAGTCGGTTAAGCGTCCGACTTCAGCCAGGTCACGATCTCGCGGTTCGTGAGTTCGAGCCCCGCGTCAGGCTCTGGGCTGATGGCTCGGAGCCTGGAGCCTGTTTCCGATTCTGTGTCTCCCTCTCTCTCTGCCCCTCCCCCGTTCATGCTCTGTCTCTCTCTGTCCCAAAAATAAATAAAAAACGTTGAAAAAAAAATTTAGAATAGATTCAGATTCCTGGCTGGGTAGAAAAGAATAAAGTTGAATGGATCCTTCCTTGTTGAAGCTGCTCCCAGGCTTTAGGGGAAATTTTTTTTTTTTAAGGGAACACATACAAGTCATCAGAAATACTTACATTACCTAGAGGGTTGTGCAAAAAGAAAAAAAAATCCCAGTGTATAATTCTTGACTGATAGATTTCCCACCAGAATCATTCTTGGACAGCTGATTACAAAGGCATTCAATAAAAATCATGACTTGGAGTCACTTCCCCATGAAGCTCTCCCCAGCGTCTCCCACTCCCATACACACGTCATTTGATACGCTGTACTGACCTATATTTTTGCATACACCCTGCCATAAGGTAACCATTTATTCAAAATAAACCTCTTCGGCCAGAGCAGATATCTCAACCACAGCACACTTGACATCTGGGGCGAAATTACTTGACATCTGTGGAGGGCTGTCATGTACCCTACGGGATGCTTAGCAGCAGCCCTGGCCTCCACCCACTAGATGCCAGTAGCACTGCCCTCCCAAATTATGACCACCAAAAATGACTCCAGACATTTGCCAAATGCTCCTATGGGAGCAAAATCCACCCCCCACCCTTGGTTTTGAATCACTGTGCTAAAGTGAGAAC